GCAGGGGGCATCACACTACCGAATTTCAAACTATATTACAAGGCTACAGTAATCAAAACAGCATGGTACTGGTACCAAAACAGAGATATAGACCAATGGAACAAAACAGAGGCATCGAGGCAACACAACATATCTACAACCATACAATTTTTGATAAACCTGACAAAAACAAGCAACGGGGAAAGGATTCCCTGTTTAACAAATGGTGTTGGGAAAACTGGCTAGCCATGTGCAGAAAGCAGAAACTGGACCCCTTCCTGACACCTTACACTAAAATTAACTCCAGATGGATTAAAGACTTAAACATAAGACCTGGCACCATAAAAACTCTAGAAGAAAATCTAGGCAAAACCATCCAGGACATAGGAGTAGGCAAGGACTTCATGACCAAAACACCAAAAGCATTGGCAACAAAAGCCAAAATAGACAAATGGGACCTAATCAAACTCCACATCTTCTGCACGGCAAAAGAAACAGTCACTAGAGTGAATCGGCAACCAACAGAATGGGAAAAAATTTTTGCAGTTTACCCATCTGACAAAGGGCTGATATCCAGAATTTACAAAGAACTCGAACAGATTTACAGGAAAAAAACAAACAAGCCCATTCAAAAATGGGCAAAGGATATGAACAGACACTTTACAAAAGAAGACATACATGAAGCCAACAAACATATGAAAAAATGCTCATCATCACTGGTCATCAGAGAGATGCAAATCAAAACCACATTGAGATACCATCTCACGCCAGTTAGAATGGCGATCATTAAAAAATCTGGAGACAACAGAAGCTGGAGAGGATGTGGAGAAATAGGAACACTTTTACACTGTTGGTGGGAGTGTAAATTAGTTCAACCATTGTGGAAGACAGTGGGGCGATTCCTCAAGGCCTTAGAAATAGAAATTCCATTTGACCCAGCAATCCCATTACTGGGTATATATCCAAAGGACTATAAATCCTTCTACTATAAGGACACATGCACACGAATGTTCATTGCAGCACTGTTTACAATAGCAAAGACCTGGAATCAACCCAAATGCCCATCGATGATAGACTGGATTGGGAAAATGTGGCACATATACACCATGGAATATTATGCAGCAATCAGAAATGATGAGTTTGTGTCGTTTGTAGGGACATGGATGAATCTGGAGAACATCATTCTCAGCAAACTGATACAAGAACAGAAAATGAAATACCGCATATTCTCACTCATAGGCGGGTGATGAAAAATAAGAACACATGGACACAGGGAGGGGAGTACTAAACACTGGGGTCTATTGGGGGGAAAAGGGGAGGGCCAGCGGGGGGGGAGCTGGGGAGGGATAGCCTGGGGAGAAATGCCAAATGTGGGTGAAGGCGAGAAAGGAAGCAAAACACACTGCCATGTGTGTACCTATGCAACTGTCTTGCATGTTCTGCACATGTACCCCAAAACCTAAAATGCAATAAAAAAATTTAAAAAAAAATACAGCTCAAATTGAATTGCTTCTCATCACCTCCACAACTACCCAGAGGAAGCTGCAATATGTTCTCCTAACTCAGCCCTGCCTTTTCGTTTCTTGTTCACCTATACTCTATTCTGTTCCCAGCTACTGAAATGATCTTTTTACTACAAAATTCAGAGCATCGTATTCTTCTGTTTTAAACCCTCCACAGCCTTCCATTTCACAATTAAACATTTTTAAACCCTTACCTTGACATATAAAGCCTGTCTAATCTGATTATCAGCTTTTTTTCTGACCACATCTGTGTGATGATAAATGACTGACACCTGGCTCTCCACATGCCATCCTGGCATGAATGTTGGTTGATATTTTCATACATGTTAACAAGTAAGACAAGAGTAAAAGAACAAAGACTGTGTTGGAATTTCACCCATGTATCAACAACATCAAGACTTTCTTTGCCAAACTGGATAACAGTTTTTGAAAACTGAAAGAACAGTTCCTCAATTTTTTGTGCTATTCAAATGTAACATGAAATGCCACAACATTTAATCTGAATTGTTAACATTTTCTCCACCTCTTTCTTAAGTCTAGACAATCAACAAAAATTAAGGTAAGACTTGATTTGTAGCACTTGCACATTTCCATCATGTAATTAATTCTCCCACAGTGGCTGATTTCAAGCTAACAAGTCAACTCCACTGAACTTGGAGCTGAGAAGAGATGCAAAGGAGGGCAGCGTTCCATGGTGATTCCACCTTACAGACACTCAGATATGCACAACCTCAAGGGCATAGATAACAATAAAAACGTAGCAAACTAATCAGAAAGTGATGAGTTTTAGTTTTAATATGATACGTTCAGCTGTAAGCTTATATGATTTAATGTTTAATAATGGCTGTGTTTAGCAACTGGTTGGCAAAATTCCTGAAATTTAACAATTGGCTCTGCAAACCAGTGTCGGCTGGCTCCTACATAGCACTCAGCACCGTTCACCTTGCCTCTGCTACCCTGGCCTTCTTGTTGTGCTTTGAACACACAGCACTTTCCCAACTCAGGGACTTTGCACGTTCTGTTCCCCATGCCTAGAATGTTCTACCTGCATGCCTCGCTCCTGTACTTCATACCTTTCATACCTTTCTCTGTTCAAGTATCACCTCCTCAGAAGGGTCATCACCAACCATCCCGATGCCCCATCACTCACTATCCCCTTCCTATGCTTCCACTCTTTCTCCTAGCACTGATTACTCCACAACATTCTATTATTTACTTGTTTACATGTTTATTCTCTATCACACCAAACTAGAAGCACCATAAGATTAGGTAACTATTCTTCACTGCAACCCTATGCCTATAAGAGTTTTTAGCCTACCACTGAGGTTCAACAGCTACCTGTCAAATGTTTGGGGACCGACTCAGTATTTTATCTATCTATCTATCTATCTATCTATCTATCTATCTATCTATCTATCATCTATCTATCTATCTAGTCTATCTATTTATCTACCTACCTATCTACCTATCTATTTATTTATTTTGAGACAAAGTCTCACTCTTGTCACCCAGGCTAGAGTGCAATGGTGCGATCTCAGCTCGCTGCAACCTCTGCCTCCATGGTTCAAGCAATTATCCTGCCTCAGCCTCCCAAGTAGCTGGGATTACAGGTACCCGTCACCGAGTCCAGTTAATTTTTGTATTTTTAGTAGAGACAGGGTTTCACCATCTTGGCCAGGCTGGTCTCAAACTCCAGACCTCATGATATATCCACCTCAGCTTCCCAAAGTGCTGGGATTACAGGTGTGAGCCACTGCACCTAGCCTTATTTATGTAATTTATTTATTTATTTGAGACAGAGTCTTGCTCTGTCATCCAGGCTGGAGTGCAGTGGCATGACCTTGGCTCACTGCAACCTTCAACTCCCAGGTTCTAGAGATTCTCGTGCCTCAGCCTCCTGAGTAGCTGAGACCACAGGCATGCACTAACATGCCAGGCTAATTTTTGTATTTTTAGTAAAGACATGGTTTTACCATGTTGCCCAGGCTGGTCTCGAACACATGGCCTCAAGTGATCCACTCATCTTGACCTCCCAAAGTGCTAGGATTACAGGCATGAGCCACTATGCCTGGCCTGGACTCAGTATTTCTTTCTCTTCCATGGCTTAACTGAAATCTATCCTAGAGACTCTCACAGGTGGGATGCTATTCTTTGTCACAAAAAACACCTGCACCAGAACCATCCAGAGTGATAGAAATAAAGGTGCTTCAAGATTGGGAGATGGAGATAGTATTCTCCTCCCTTTCCCAAGTCTCTTCTGAACTCCTGCTTCTTTGAGAGTCAGGCAATTTCTCTCTGCCTCCCACCACCAGGGACCACCACTCCTTGTTTCCATGGGTCTCCTAGTCATTATCCCTCAGACACTGAAGGCTTTGCCTCCATATCTATACGGATATCAACTTTTAAAAATAACAACCTCTAAGTTCCCTGGGATAGTACAAGCATCTAACTTAATGTCTAGTATGTATTAAGTGCTTGATAGATGTTCCTTAAGTAATTGAATTAATGACTTGTGACCAGTTCTCATCTTGGGAGTGAGCCAGTTATTCATGGATTAGACCAGAAGACCTTCTGGTGATCATACCAGCTAAGAATTATCATCTGGACTGTGTAAGAGTAGGAAACAGACACATTTACCTGCCAGAGACATTTACCTGACACATGGTTAAGCAAAGTTTGTGTCTTTATATGATTTGCAAGATTGTCAACCTAATATAAACTAAACACTCAAACAAAGGCAATAGCTCAATTCTGACTTTCCTGGTCCCCAACTTTGTGTTTGCTTTCACGGTGACAATGGAAAATGCAGTCCTAAGTCAGTTTCTCAATATCCTTCTTTTTCATTCTGAAACTTGTCACACAATGATAAACAGTCACTTTGGGATTCTAGTTTCGTGCCTCTGACCTGGCATTTTTGGTTTGTTTGTTTTTTTCCTAAATTCAAATAGTCTCACTTGGCATTTGGAAGACTGACCCAACTGTCTCAGCGTTCCCTAGGCAATAAAGATGTAAGTTAATTAAAAAACCCAAACAGAACTGGTCTCCAAAACAATGGAGTACCTAAGAATGCCAACAGTCAGTAATTTATGTTTTATTACTACAGAGCTTTGCAAAATGTTTATCATTTTAATGCACTGAGTTACCCAGTCACTAAAACCTCCCAGAAAAACCACCTAGGGTAATGCCTGGCAAATAGAAGGCAGGCATTCTATCTTTGTTTGTTTGTTTAGGTGGTAAATATACATTCATAAAGCATTCTGCGCAACAGGAGCTGAAGACATAGAAAATGTAGTTTAATATCTTTAGTTGTAGCAAAACAAAAATAGAAACCCCCAAATACGAAAACCTATAAAAAGATGTGGAGCATCTTAAGGAGTATAATGACATTCTCAATGGAAAGCAGAGAAAATTAATTTGCATAGCTAGCAAGGGAAATTTTGGATGGGATGAAAGAGATCTTGCCCAGAGAGAAAAGGAACAAAATCAGAGGAGTCTCACCTTTTCATGGTGATAGGAGAAACATACTCCTTCTCAGAACGGAGGTGAGCACCAGTCTCTGTGGATGTCTTCTGGTGCCAGAGCAGCACAGAGATCAGGAATGCTGGGGCTGGACGGATGAGGGGAAGGCAGGGTGGGTCCACAGTGCATCTCCTATGAAACCAGCCACAGCTTGAGGCTATGCCAGTCAACTGCCCGAATCAGTCTGGGATAGTTGTGCTGGCCAGAGGATATCAAGAGGTGAGAAGGCAGCCTGCAGCAAAGGAGCAGTGGCCCAGCCTAAAGGCAAAAAGAGACTCGACTCAATCATGTGCAACCTTTAGGAAAGACAGGCCATGAGATAATGAGTCATATTCACAGGAAGGGCCACAAAGAAGACATGAACTGGGTGGCTGGGTGAGTGTTAAGTTAGCAATCAACAGTGGGAAGGTAATTTCCCAAGTCTCCACGGGTGCGTGACATAAGGTGGAATGACTTGGGTATTACCTTAGTCAGCTCCTCCTGCCATAACAAAATACCATAGACTGGCTGAGTTAAACAATAGACATTTATTTCTCATAGTTTTGGAGGCTAAAAGTCCAAGATCAAGATGTCAATAGAGTTGGTTCCTGGTAAGGGCTCTTTCCCCGATTTGCAAATAGCCAACTTCTTGTTATGGGTGCCATGGACTCACATGGCAGAGAGAAAGCTTTGGTATTTTTTCCTCGTTTTATAAGGACACAAATGCCATCATGGGGGTTCCACCTTCATGACCTCATATAAACCTAATCACCTTCCAAAGGCCCCACCTCCAAATACAATTACATTGGGGGTTAGGGCTTCAACATATAAATTTTGGGGGAGACATAAACATTCAGTTCATAGCTGGGATTAAAGGAAGGAATTTGAATTCCCCTAGGTGAGTGATATGGTTTGGCTGTGTCCCCACCCAAATCTCATCTGGAATTGTAGCTCCCATAATTCTCACATTATGGGAGGGGCCTGGTGGGAGATAACTGAATCATGGGGCAGTTTCCCCCATACTGTTCTTGTGGTGGTGCCTAAGTTCCTTGAGATCTGATGACTTTATAAGGGGAAACCCCTTTCACTTGGCTCACAATTTCTCTAGCTGCCACCATGTAAGAAGTGTCTTTCACCTTCAGCCCTGATTGTGAGTCCTCCCCAGCCATGTGAAACTGTGAATCCATTAAATCTCTTTTTATTTATAAATTATCCAGTCTCAGGTATGTCTTTATCAGCAGCATAAAAACAGACTAGACCGTGAGGGTTCAGAGAAAGGAGGATTCTAACTTCCTAAGTGACATGTCCTAGAGTCCTCTTGACATTCCCTGTGGAGGGCTCCAGGTGTCAGCTAATGTGCAAGTACCCCTTTGACCCACATGTCCCCTTCAACTGGAGGCAAAGCACTGAATCCACCAGCATAGCCTGGCGCTGAAGAGGGGTGGTGTTGGAGTGGACATTCATTCATGCATCCTCCACTGATTATGTGCCAGTTATGTGTATTAGCCTGTTCTTGCACTGCTCTAAAGAAGTACCTGAGACTGAGTAATTTGTAAAGCTAAGAGGCTTAATTGGCTCAGAGTACAGGCTGTACAGGAAGCATGACTGGGGAAGCCTCAGGAAACATAATCACGGTGGAAGGTGAAGGGGAGGCAGATGCTTCTTCACATGGCCAGAGCAGGAGGAAGAGTTGGGGACACTTTTAAATAAGCAGATCTTCTGAGAACTCTGTCATGAGAACAGCACCAAAGGGATGGTGCTAAACCATTTATGAAGGATCCACCCCCATGATCCAATTACCTCCCACCAGGCCTCACCTTTAACATTGAGAATTACAATTGAACATGAGATTTGGGCAGAGACACAGATCCAAGCCCTATCAGTACTCTTCAAGCTTATGGAGACACAGATGCAAACAAGAAAAGCCTACTTCTTGCTCTCATGAAGCTGACATTCTAGAGAAGGAAAAGAAAATAGCCAAGTAAATTTATGGATAAACAGACGTTGAGGAGCAACACACAGTATGAGGAAGCCAAAACTGGATGGTCTGAGAGAGAGCTTGGGTCAGAGTGGGGGTTGGACTTTAAATTAGTGGTGAAGGACAGACTCAGAGGAGGTGGTGCTTGAACTGAACCTATGTGACAGAAGGATTCAGGTCGGTCAAGATCTGGAGGCAGAGGGCACAAAGCATTCTGTAGCAGGGCTACAGAATGTCTTTATTCTTCAGAAATAAAGAGAAGGTTAGTTTGGCTGGAGCCCAGTGCATGAGGGTAGAAGCGAGATCAAGTAGGGCCTTTAAATCCACTCATTTCTCACCATCTGCTATGAACTGAATGTGTGTCTCCCCAGAATTCCTGTGTTGAAGCCCTAATTTCTAATGTAATGGTATTTGGAGATGAGGCCATTAGAAGGTAATTGGAGTTAGATGAGGTCATGAAAATAGGGGTCTCATGATAGAATTAGTATCCTTATAAGAAGAGATGCCAGTTAACTGAAGCTCTCTCTCTTTGCCATGTAAGGACACAGAGCAATGGAGGCTGTCTGCAAGCCAGGAAGAGAGTCCTCACCAGACACTGAATCTGCCAGTTCCTTAATCTTGGACTTCCCAGCCTCCAGAATTGTTACAAATTGATGTCTGTGGTCTAAGCCATTCAGTCTGTGCTATGTTGTTATGGCAACCTGGGCCAACTAAGTACCATCTGAGTAACCTTGGGCAAATCAGAGGCTAAGCCTTGCTTGTCTCATTTGGAAAAAGGAAATGTATGTGTTCACATCACAGTTTATTAGCATAATTAAATGAAATTATGCATTTGAGGTGTTGAATTCAATATCTGGGATATACTAAATACTAAAAAATTCTGATATTACTAACAAATTCTGCAGAAATAAATATCATTGATGACAACAATTGCTGACTTTCTGAGGAGTTGTTTTGTTGTGTGTTAGCAAAACCATTCCTGGCCATATCCCACAGAGCAGAGGGGAAAATGCTGCATGAGTCGTGAGGTCACTGAGATGCAGACCACACTGTGGCTTTGGCAATGTATCTGCACATGAAGTGCCAAGAATTACTCTGGAAAGGGAACAAATCGAATGATGATTTTTTTAAGGATGATTGCATGAGAAAACTGAAAAAAAGAGAAAAGGTCAGAAAAAAAGATTTGTATGCTTTTCATTGCCTTTTACTGATTTGAATCTGACCCTCAATCACAAGAAGTGGTAATTGCCATTCTGTTTGTTTCACTTAATCAGTGATTTCAGTTTTCACCTAGTGGAAGAAAAATAGAAGCTCCTAGCATTATATGGGGAGAGGTAAGCAGTCTAGTGTAGGAACAAAGACATCACTTAGCAACAGAATTTCTGCATATACTCGTGGATTCTCCTTTTTATAGTTTGTAGTCCTGTATTTTAAGGGAGAAATAATCATAACAATATTTCTAGCATAATATACTCTGCTGTATAGAGGTTCATCCAAAAGAAAATCTTGTACGGGCTCTGCAGCATACCCAGCACTATCTGAGAGGCAATCAGGCTCACAGTGAGGTCATTGTCCTCAGGTAGCTGCTGCAGAGGGGCTTCTCATAGCAGCACCAGGAGATGCAACTCCATCCTTATCCAGGGGTAAGCCCTGGCCACTCAAGATAGTAAGATAGCAAGTCAAGACTCACAGGTTTCCTGAAAAAACACCCATGAACGTTCTTACCATTGATATGACAGGCAAATTATCCAGAGTGCCTCTCTTGCTGAAAACAAAGAAAAACCCTGGCTAGCATGAGAGCAATGCTTCTTCTGGTAGCACTGAGGCCCTAGCAAGAAAGAGGCTGCGGTCTAAAATTTAAGTAAAGGTAGCTACTTAGATAGGCACACAGAGGACTGAGATAACCTTGGCTTCAAGGGGGCTGAAAAAGATGACCTTGGGATTTGATTTTCATGGACACACAGGCATGGGAGACTGGGACAAAATCCTTCAGCTATAAAACTGGGATCTCAAAGGACACATCTGGGATGTGAAGGTGAACCAGAGGTAAGCCCATCGATATGAGGACGTGGAGGCAGTCCAGGGGGGAATATGGCTCAGATCGACGGATTGTCCAAGTTCCTTAATCCGGTTGTTCTGCCATCACTAGAATGGCACTTTTTGCACATTCCAGGATGTCACCACAAACATTAAAAGGCAAGGGATGAAGAGAGGAGAGGGTCTGCTCTTTAAGAACAAGACTAAGAGCTTGCACACATCATTTTCACTCACACTCCATTAGCCAGAGCTTAGCGCAGAGTGCTGAGAAATGCAACTTTCTTCTGGAGGGCCATAGACCTTACTAAAAATTAGGGCTTTTACTTCTTTTTTAAAGAATGTAAGTGTGCATATTGGAAAATACCTCTCTTAGACGTATCGTGAGCCAAAACAAATTCCAATAAATTAAAATTCTGCTGTAGCTAGGTGCACAGTGTCTCACGCCTGTAATCCCAGCACTTTGGGAGGCTGAGGCAGGCGGATCATTTGGGGTCAGGAGTTCAAGACCAGCCTGGCCAACATGGAGAAATCCCCATCTCTACTAAAAATTCAAAATTAGCCAGGCATGGTGACAGGCGCATGTAATCCTAGATACTTGGGAGGCTGAGGCAGGAGAATGCCTTGAATCCAGGAGGTGGAGATTGCAGTAATCCGAGATCCAGCCTGGGTGACAGAGTGAGACTCAGTGTCAAAAAACAAAAAAGAAAAGAAAAAGCTGACTGGAGCCAAAGCAATGCTGTTCATGAGACCCCTGAGACTTAGGAAAGGACTGAAGTATGTGTTTACTATACTTTGGAAGGAAAAATACACATTTAACAGCAATAGATACTATTTGAATGTTATTGGAAGAAGGAACATGCTATTCTTAGGCATGCTAGTTATTTGCACATGAAATCAAATATGATAAAAGATGAGGATGTACCTCTATTTCTTAAGTATTTCCGTTATTGAAGAATCCTGGTGTTGTGGAACCTTTAAAGAGGTGGTCATTTAAAATCATTTCTCTTTACCATAGAGAAGCCTTTTACATATACACACACTCATGTAGGTATGTCACAGTGTCTTAGTGGTTGGATATCAGACTTACTTTGCAAATCTAGATTTCCTGGCACTGCTCTTAAAATAAGTTTGCTTTTCCCCAACACAGCCCACTCATGGCGTCTGCTGGATGCCTGAATGAAGTTAGATGCCACTAACACAGTAAATTGTGTCAGTCATACTGAGTACAGTCAGTCCCCAAGTTTTATATCCGTGACTCACTTATTCCTGCACTGAGCCTCTGAGGGAATAAAAGAGGGGCCCTTCGAGGTAAATGAACACACCCTTTACTTAGACTCCTACCTGAACCTGGGATCTGATCTGTTGCTCTTGTGAATCTGGCTGAATAGTATGAAAGTCATGGCTTTTGCTACTCCCTGGAGACAAGGAAGGTTTAAGCGAACGTCGAACCAGCCCTGTCTTCTGTTCTCTCAACCCACCTGGTCTAGCTGGTCCTCTGCATCATCCTCACAAAAGATGGGGACAGCTAAGAGCTGGTGAGCCCTTGACCAGAGTGTGCTAAGGCCACCCCTTCATGCTCCCATCCCCAAGCCTCTTTGGCTGTCAAAGAGCCAAGTAGGGCTCTTTGGCTGTCAAAGAATGAAAGTCCCAAAGGGAACTCAAAGCTCCATTTCACCACATCTGCCTCATGAAAGAAAAAACAATCACATCAGATAATAAAACCAAGAGTTGAAAGTGAATTACAATCTCCTTTGCCCCTCTACCAAAGCTTTGATGCCTTCAGGTACCTGGGTCATTTGGTGTATCTTTGAGGTTTCTATTTTGTCCTCAACGTGTGTTACTGCCTCCTCTTGAAGAGTTGAGCTTCTTCTAGAACAGAAATGTTTAACTCATTTCCAGCCTGGATCCCATGTAGGAATCTGACAGAAACCATGAACTCTTTCCTGCAAAAAAAAAAAGCAGACAGACAGACAGACACACACACATACACACACACAAACACACACACACATTTTTAATGCACTTCTAGAGGTTTCACAGTTTCCCTGAAAACCACCCATGAACATTCTGTCATAATACTCACCTTATAGTCAGGGTGTTTGTGTTAAGAGTCTTGATCAAGCCACTGAACAAGTTGTAATTGGATAAATCATTTAATCTCTCATGATTTTATTTCTGGTCTCTGTCAAACATACAGGGATGGCCTTTTCCTCTTTTATGTCTGGCCATATAATTATTTCCTCCTCCTCGTCCTCTTTCTTCTTTCCTCTTCTTGTTCTTTTCTTTTCTGTCGAAAAGGTTACTGCTTTGAAATCAGAAACAGAGAGATTAGAAATTTATTCTTTAAACAACTACTTTGGAGAAAATGGGTTAGAACTGGTTGCAGTGGCCCATGCCCTTCACTAATGCTGGAGGAGAATGTGACGGACAGATGGATGATTTTGGGTGGTGGCTGGCGGCAGATAATTCTCAGCAGGCATAAACTCACCAGCAATCTCTCCTCAGAAAATCACCCGATGTTAGTTATAAACACAGGGCTGGGTTCTCTTGATTTTTTCCATCGTAGCGACAAGGAGACCAAGCAATTTACATCATTTTAATTTATTTAAGGGCCCCAGGGGAAGGAGTTGGTCTCGCTGACTGTACTGCAGGATGGCGTAACGGCCAAGCCCCTCCAGCAGGTGGCTGTGATCTGTATTGACTTGGTAATAATCTGCTGCGTGCAGCTGGCTGGAATAGATTAGAATGGCGAGCTTGGACTGATTAATCAAGGAGAGAGACATGCACCACCCTATCGGAGCGTCCTTTGGGACCGCCAGAGTCACATCTGTCATCCTGATTCCGTTGTGCCCAGGGCTGCTTTACTTGCAGATTAGTTGACGTTTCCAAGGTGGCGTTTGACACAGCTGGAGAGACCATAACCCACTGCTACAGACCTGCATTTCTCCATAAAGCACCTGACTGATTTACCTATTCCAAGAGTCTGGAATTTGTGTTCTCTTAACCAATGTTGCCACAGAAAAGAATGTGAATGAATGAGCTGGGTCCTCCTGCCTGGAGTTTATCTGGCTTGAGTATTGGCGTGTACAGAGAAATTAGCTCACATTTTAAAAATGCAAATTCTCACAGTACTCATGGACTCTGTGTTGATGAAGCCCATGAAAATTGACCAGTCAGCTAGCCAGATAGCAAAAAAGATTATGAAGAGACTCAAATCTAGAAAAAAGAATAGAATAATAATCCACAGAGTACAAATCCAATATGTGAAGATACCATGTGAAAAGTTGCTGAAATTCACAAGTGGTAAGAGAAATGCAAATTAAAAGAGTCTGAAGATATCACCTTCTACCCATCAGACTGGCAACATAAGATCAAAAAGTGTTATAATATCTATTGCTGGCGAGGATTTGGACAAAAGAATGTATCTTCCTCATGCCGTTGCAGATGCAGTGTTACAGTCTTTTTGGAAAGTAATCAGGCCCCTGCTTATTCCAATTATAATTACCTATAAACTTTGACCCAGCAGCCCTGCTTTGGGGGTTTATTTCATACAAACATAATATATGAGAACACTTATTGCATGGTAGTGATGAAAAACTGAAAACAATGTTAATCTATCAGTAAAAAAAAACGACTGAAAAGAAGACTACATGTCACGGGTGAGATATATTGCAGCTGATAAAAAGGAGGACTTGGAACAGTACCAGTTAATTTGGAGATAATTCCACTTATTGATGAAAGGTAAACAGTCAGTAAAGTGTATATAGTCTAATTCCATTTTTCTGTAAAGCAAATGACAGGTACCTTACATATGTCTCTGTGTGGGTGTGTATATGCCACTATATACTTACCTGTGCATGCGGGAAAAAAAACTATGGATAGAATCACATTTGTTATAAAAATGCTCTAAAAAGCTTATTTGGTATAATCATATTAATGGATTTATGCAAAGGTTCTTCTATGTGTACACATATGAAAGTATTTATGCTAAAGTACTTACAGGTTTAAACATGTAACTTAAAAATGTATAAGAATGACAGGGACATGAAGAACATTCCTACTGCAAATGTCTCAAGGAAAACCACATTCAATAATAAAATACAATGAGCAACTTGAGTGTGAGCTCTCTGGAAAGCAGAGAGAAGCCAGGAAGCCCAGGAGGTTCTGGGACATTTGCTGACATATTCAAATCTGATCACATTACCTCCCTCAGTTGATAGCTTCATTGGCTCTTCATTATTCAAAAGAAAGAGTTCAGGTTTCTTAATATCACATATCACTTGGAATAAGTTGCTAGTCTTACTTTCCACCCTCATCTCCCAGCATACCATATTTCTCACTGTTCCCTGGACAGATTTTAATCTCATCACTCTTCCCTCCTTCCCAACATGAAAAAACCCTGTGACCCTCAAAAGTCATATGAAATGCCCCCATCTCTATGAAGTTACCCATGGGTTCCAGGCCTTATACTACCTGCACCTTAAACGCTGCTAACGTTTTAGAGTCTCTCTATTCTTTTAAGGGATGAGTCCATGAACAGTAGATATGCACTGCACAGATCCACTTACATGCAGCTTTTTTTTCAACCAAACACAGGTGGAAAATATCCAGTTGGAGGAATGTGAAATCTGCATATGCAGATGGCCGACTTCTCCTGTACATGGGTTCTGCAGGGCCTAGTGCAGAACTTGGTATGTGCAGATTTGAGCACACAAGGACAGTCCCAGAACCAGTACCCCATGTATACGAACAGATGACTGCAATACATTTTTAATGCTTTGGAACAATATATAGACCAATAGTGATAAACACTGTTAATCTTTTGTCTGGTATCTTTTTTTATTAACCCATACATAGGCTTCTCAGAAAATGGGATCCTGTTCTAAGACCCCCAGTGATATATGAAACCTTGGATAGTATAATATGTACAAATTAGTTTTTCCTTCTATGCAATTTCACAGATAGAATATTTGTTCTTGCTGTAGAACAAATATTACATCTTACAACCTCAGTTCACAATCTTTTTCTTTCTTTACGAAGTAGAGAACTTTTACCTTTTCACTTAAAGGAAGCACTTACGGCTTCTCTTTGACGTATCTGAATTGCCAGCATCACTATTCTTGCACTTTGTGGCCATTATTAAGTACAATAAGAGTGCGTTGAAAACAAACTCTGTGATACCTTGACAGCAAATCTGATAACCTACACCACTGCTAAGTGACTAACGGGCATGCGCTGTGGACAGTGTGGTCACACTGGACAAAGGGATGATTCACTTCCTGGGTAAGAGGAGGCAGCATGGCCGAGATGTCATTTTGCTACTCAGAATAGCTAGCAGTTTATAGTTTAGGAATTGTTTATATCTGGAATTTTCCATTTGATATGGACTGACATTGACTTTGAGTAACTGAAACCACCAAAATAAAAACTCTGGTTAAGGGAAGACTACTGTATCTTTGTAATTTTTTTCACTCAATTACATACATTGAACATATTTCTTTGCATCAGATATTTCTTTACAGCATAATATTTAATGACTATATAGTATTCCACTGTAGAGGTAAATTAACTCTATGTAAAACATAAAATGATAAAATTACTCCACTAACCTTTTATTGTTGAATTTTTAACAATCACTGGTTGTTCCTGATTATTATTAAAATACATAATAGTGTGGCTATTGTTGCCTTTAAATGTTTGTACACATCTTTATTTCCTTTCTTAGGATAAGTAAGTAGAAGTGGAAGTCCTAGAACAACAGCCTGATTATTATAATATTTTTAATATTTACATACAAGAAGGTTAATTTACCACATCCTTGCATAAGCTTTTGCCAATAGTTCACACTTTTATTTTTTATAGTGGAATTTTTTGTTTTTTTCTTTGAGACAGGATCTCACTCTGTTGCCCAGGCTGGAGTGCAGTGGATGATCTCAGCTCACTGTAACCTCCACCTCCCGGGTTCAAGCCCTTCTTGTGCCTCAGCCTCCCCAGCATCTGGGACTATAGGTGCAAAACAACACATCTAGTCAATCTTTGCCATTTTTTCATAGAGACAGTTTTGCCATGTTGGCTAGGCTGCTCTCGAACTCCTGGCCTCAAGTGATCCACCTACCGTGGCCTCTCAAAGTGGTGGGATTACAGGTGTGAGTCACCACGCCCGGCTACAGCAGAATTTTAATTTATTGGAATTTTTTTGGGCTCATGATGTGTCTGAGAGAGGCCCCAGTCAACTTTTTAAAAGCTACCACATCTTAAAAGATTATTCATTCATTCAACAAATACTTACAAATGGTCCTCTTTTTGAAAGGATCTGTTCTAAGAGCTAGGGAAATAGAAAACTAAAACTCCATTGTATTAGTCGTTTTTACACTGCTATAAAGATACTACCCAAGACTGGGTAATTTATAAACAAAAGAGGTTTAATTGACCCATGGTTTCGCATGGCTGGGGAGGCCGTGGGAAACTTACAATCATGGCAGAAGGCAAAGGGGGACCAGGCACCTCTTCACAAGGTGGCAGGAGAGAAAACAAGCAAGAGAGGAGTTACCAAATGTGTATAACCATCAGATCTTGTGAGAACTCACTCACTATCGTGAAAACAGCATGGGAGAAATCACTCCCAAGATTGAATCCCCTCCTTCCTTCGACACATGGGGATTACAACTCAAGATGAGATTTGGGTGGGATTACAGAGCCAAACCATACTATCCACCTTTATATAACTTGCGTTTAAATGGAAGAAGATAAGCAAATGAATAAAAACAAATAATTATGTGGTCAGGCACAGTGGCTCACACCAGTAATCCCAGCACTTTGGGAGGCCAAGGCAGACAGATCACTTGAGCTCAGGAGTTTGAGACCAGCCTGGGCAACATGGCAAAACTCTGTTTCTACAAATAAAAAAAATACAGAAACTAACCAGGTGTTGTGGCATGTGCCTGTAGTCTTGGCTACTTGGGAGACTGAGGTAGAAAGGTTACTTGAGCCCGGGAGGTTGAGGCTGCAGTGTGCTATGATTGCTCACTGTCCAGCTTGGGCAACAGAGCAAAAGTCTGTCTCCAAACAAACAAACAAAAAACTAATTACATGAGATGGTGATAACTACCATGAGAAAAAGCAGAAAAGTGAGATGGGGTGGCAGAGTGGGGGAAGGACATCTTGGGTGTGCTTCAAAGAAAGGGCCAAAGAAAGGGGGAGCTCAGTGTGAATTTTAGGGTTAAAGAAGTTTAGGCAGAAAAAAATGCAAAAGCACAGTCCCTGGGGCAGGAGTGACTTGGAGGTCTGTGTGACTGAAGCGGA